ACTAACCAACCGCCACTAACTCACAATAATCTCCGTTACCTGCGCCCTTTTAATAAAGCTTCGTTCCCGGGCATAAAGGATCCACGCTGTCCTGAATGATTTTATTTTAATGCCGCGCAACGCGATTCCGAAAGAACGAGCATTTATTTTTGAACGGCACACGGTTTCTGCCATTAAAGTAATTTATCAATGTTAATGGACCAATTAGTCAATACGTACAGGTGGATAATGATCTTGGGGACGAATGCGCTGAAAAAGTATATGGCACGAATCGGCGCATTAATTTCGTGGAACGATGCATCTGTATTACCGGAGCCTAGCGGGTATAAAAAGCGACGAGGCATCGATCTGTCGAAATGATAACTGCGAAAATAGTGACCGTCTGCTGCATTCGCTGCGAAAGTTCGCATCCGGATAATCGTTCGAGATTTCTAAAGCAAAACAGCTAAAAACGTTCCATGTACATTCTCCATTGAAATTTTAGAAGCTCGCTTCTTTCGCTCGTAGCGCGGAAGCCCGTTACGAATTTACGGGACAGATAAATTATAAATCATTTGTAACAGTCTTGGGAAATCGACGTCCCAGGACGGCAAGTTAAAACTTGGGGAAAATTCTGTATTGTCGCTGAAGTTTCGCTCGTCTAACAAGATACACCAGGTATCGTTATGCTACTTTTTCACAAAAACTCCCGTTCCATGCCCGGTGGCTAAGTAATCGTGACGATGCGCATTTGATACGCCGGCTCGTTAATCCATACCTATAGCGCAGAACTCATACAACGAGGGAAACGATTTTTATATAAAATAATACAAATGGTTTTATATATCAAGTATACTGTTTACATTTTCTGTACATTCAGTTTTCCTATAAACTCATAAAATCCACAGTTTAAAGATAACTTCTTATTGTAAGCTTCTCGAGTTGCGATTCTTTTACGTGGCGCAATTCAACTCCAGATTTTCCTTGGCGCATATAAGAAATCTTTTATTACCAAGCTAGTCGAATGAAATTCCAAATAAAAACTTTTTATCATCTTCATTCATATCCAATAGCAATAAAGAAATATTGTTTGCATATATTTTTAATGTAATGGTTCAGAATTGAATTCTCTGGTTGTTAGAAAAATTTTTACGGTACATAGGCATTAATACGAAGAAAAAGTTGATTGAAAACGACAGAGTGTTTCGCACGATACGATTGTCTCTTAATTCCGTGCGGCGTGTGACGGGACAAAGAGATCAAAGATTGGAGGGGAACTGTTGTTGCAATTGTCTAAGAAGAATTGATATCGCAACAGGAACGGTTTCTCGCGGCACCATCGGGACAACCGGAGCCGTGTGCCTGCTGTTTTCATCGTGATAGCATACACGGTAGTCGTGGGCGCTCGTGGCAGGGGGTAGGTTGCGTGAGGAGGGACGCGGGAGGTAGGTGCGGGTTAGGACAGCATACGCCGGCCGCTACCACCGAGAGGGATGAATTATCGCGCCCGGTAACCGAGTCGAAAGTTCTCAATTCCCATTAAGCGAGGCAGCCGGCCAGAAACCGATAGGTTAGTTGGTGAACCTGCTGAGAATCCCCGGTGCTCAGACCGACGCCGCCGTGCAACTCCGGTGACTACACATCGCATCGGTCTCGACGCGATGTTGGAACATCGGCAACCAGGCGCCAAGAGGGCACCGAACACTCGCCTACCGTCGCTCGTGCGACTAACAACGCTAATAATAATAGTAATCTGATGGTACACGATGGCACTACTTATAACCCGTTCGCCAAACTGCCATATGTCATGTACACACACGAACCCGTCCCGTTCTTCGTCGCGCGGTGAGTCATCCGACTGATCAAGGAAATTGAAGTTATTTTCCGATCACTGTTCGACTTATAAATTTACGAACTGCGAATAGATTATCGATTATCCAGGAAAATAATCTGTCTACCTCGATATCCTGTCACGAATTTCACTCCGACCCGAGCGTTAATATCATTAGAAAAAATTTTAAGTAATAGTTATATGGTGACTTTCGAAATATCAACCGTTGCGATTTAATTACGGGTAACCTAATAGATGTACATAATTCCCCAATTAACGGGGACTGGAAATCACAAGTAAAATTCTGTAAGCAGCGAAGCAACGAACCGCTTGACAACTATTAATTAAATGGGCGTAGACGGTGGACCGACAGAGCGGGCTGGTTACCCGTGGCGGTAATTGTTAACAAAATCGCGCGCCCTTCTCGCTTACTTCCGTCGAGCCCCCTGCCCCGCATTCGCTCCCCGTCTCACCTCCGGTTTATAATTTTACGCGAACGCGTTCATTACATCGTAGCTGTGTAAACAATCAAATGGGTCGTACGAGGAGCGACACGCGCTTATATACGTACGCGTCAAGTTACGCATGCATGAAATTGCGAGAGGATAGGCATGCGTATGACCTATACAACGAAATTACACGTGGTTCGTGTACAAATTTAACATACTTCCTTTGATACAGTTTGCGTGGTTCCCTTAATTATCCGCGTCTTCCCCGAAAATTTAATTATCAGTCAACAAACACGCGTTATGAAATATACTGATTACTAGGACCTATTTCTAAATGAGTGAGAAGTACATAAATAAATCCAGTAGATTCTTTTATGACTTGACAGAACGTCCTGTCTATCCGAATCTGTTATAAACGAATAGGTGAACGTATAAATACGAAAGTAACAAATTAGATTCTATTTGTGACGATTAGTGACTTATCCGGTGGATTTCGACAAGTGAAATTGGGTCACTCTAATATCATTTATTCACTCGATCGGAGTTTCATGCGAAAAGCCCGCGAAGAACATCGCGTCAAAGCGAATGAAAAAAGAATGTAACGAGCGACAGTTCGGATAGGTAACAGATAATTTCAGGCGCCTGATTAGTCATTCGCTAATGGTTCGGATCCAGTTTAACTGGAACGGTGGATATCACCGGGGAGGTTCTATTTATACGAACAGACAGGAAACCAATAGCTTAACCGTCCGCTTTCGGTAAAATTCCTGTACAAAGATTTACTCCGGATCGCTGGTAAGAAAAATCGACTCCGTTACAGTGTCCGCCGCGGGTCGGCGTTCCGAGGTTTAAGCGAATAAATCCTTCGCCCGGACAGTGGGGGTCGGGGGCGACCCGGGTATAGTTCGCGAGTTATCATCTGTAAACTTGTAACGTGGGTACACTTGAACAGCGTTTACTCGTCGTGCAGAGTGCGCGATATTGAAATCAACGGGCGTAAAACAAAAGTTGCGCCGCCGCATCTGACCCCTAAACGCGCGGCTTCGTAAGCGAAGCGAAGCGACACGGAACGAAACGGACCGACCTTAAAACCGAGCAACGAGCATGGAATTGTGCACGTTCTTGCTTGTACGCATCGGTTTCTATATGCGCATGCATTGCCTCCCGTCCCGTGCCCGTTTATATGCCTCCGTGTACATGCACGTATATCTACGCTCAGCGCTGTATATGCACGCGCACACTGGATGCGTGAATAGGGGCTATGTGCCCGCATTTTGTTCGTTTCTCCATCAGAAACGTCGCTGCAAAATCGTTTCGAATCTGTGTCGAGTGATCGGTGGTAAACAGGCTGAGGATGTTTATCTGAAATTCATAGATACCGATTTCCTACGATCACTTTCTAGACGAACTTGTCTTTATTCTAAAAATATTTGCACGTCGTATGAAGAGGAATTAGGTTCTGCGATCTAATCGAAGTTTTATTATGGTTCAATGCATACTTAGGGATCTGAAATGTCCAGCGAGTCGTGCAAATATTGCTCACGGTAGCCGGAATTACACCACGGTATCATAATGCGGGGAAACAATAGGCGTAGGTGTGCTCTGTTTTCACCTGATTTGTCGCGCCTCGTTGTCACCGTTCCGTCGAGTCGCTGACATCACGCTGAAGCTACTTTAGCCGGCGTAAAGTTCAAGCGCAGTTCACAGTAAATAGGTACACGCGTCCCTGAATACCCTTCTCGTGTACCTGCCTCCACGCACGAATACTTAATGCCGTAATCTTACGGGATAAACGGAGAAGGTGCGTAGGTATGCATATAATATGTGTACGTGCGCGTGAAACGTCTGGATTAGAGTTTACGGTGCAAAGCCGCTGCGAAATGAGCCAGAATACTGCGAATCAACGCGTTGAGAAACATTTAAGAACACCACATTAAATAGTCAACGTTTTTAATGAAAGATCAGTTATACGATTTGGTTGTAAACAAATTCTTATATCACATTTTTAATTAAAAACATCAGATTTCTTTATGAAATAGTTGAACTTCACAGTTTTATCTCGTATTAATACTGCAGTGAAGGAGAACGGTCTGGGTTCAGTAGAATAGGCGCGGGCCTGGTCAGACGCTCACCGCGTACTTTCATCGCAATTGGCATGTTTTTAACATAAAGAACGGAGTAATGCTATTCGTGGTGATTTAAAATTTTTGAACAGTGAAACTTTAATTTTTGAAGTGCTGAAAAATGCGTTCAGAGCGTAAGGTCAAGGAGGTAGTTATTCCTGTTAATCTCGCGTTTAAGGGTCTTGTGTGAACTCGTCCTACTGATTGAAATGTAAATTTAACAAATATAACCGGGACAAAAGGTTCTCGAATCTCTTCGAGCGCAAGAAGCGATTAAATAGAGTAAAAAATTAAGACCTCGGTAACTTAAATAAGTAAAAGTTTCGCTTAAATTTCTCCATTTCGAGACGGTTGGTTAGTTCAGAGTTAACCTTCTTCTCTCGTCGAGGAAATTGTAAAAACGTTCGTACGGCGGAAAAACATGCAATTAAAATTTCTTGCGAGATTTTATTCCGTTAAACGATTCCTTCTTTGTCGCTGGTAAATATCCATGGATTACGGAATCCGACGAAGATTGAAAAATACGTCGTCCGTGGCAGTTTTAAATAAACAACAATCCTTTTTACGACATTGTTATTACATTTTACTGGACGGTGCTATTTTTTATCTGCTACGTAGATCTCGGATCATCAAGTCCAGGCCGCGGAGCATTCGTTATTCGTTTTGGGTGGACCGACAGGGAACGTCTTTTGTCGGCGCTATTTGTATACGAACCGGAACAAAAGCAGGGACGGTCAAACGCAAGCAACCTCGATTAATGGTGAGTAATAAATCTATCGTCGATTTCCCCTGGCCGGACGACCGCGACGCGACGTTATTTTACCAACAGTGCCCGCCGCTTCCTTTATTATTTCTGCCATTTACCTAACCGCGGCTGGGCATGTAAACTCTTCGTGATGCTATTTCCCCGACGCAAAGAATATTCCCAATATTCCAAACGCATTTAAACAACTCGCTGTTGCGAATTCATGGCAGCAGATAGAATACGTATTAATCCTTGTACGGCCTCATTTATGAAACTCGTACGGTTAACGAACATCCGCTGTTAATGGGAATTTAGTTACAATAGCTGGAACGAAAAATATTTTGCAACACGATACGCAGCTCATTATCGAAGCAGCATAAACGAACTGGGTTCTCCACGGTTTTACGAATTTCTTTCGTGACGTGGAAGTATTGTTCCACCGAAAGGAATTGTTGATCGCGGCTACATTTTGTTAATGAAATCCGCATTATACCTTGTTATCTGTCAAGACAAGGGTTTCATGAAAATTTTTGTACGCGACGACACTGCGTATTCATCGCTGAAAGGAAAATCGTTGCGTAAACCTACGCCGGATGCTTTATGACTCGTTAGTTTATTAGAACGTTGCGAAAGTCCGTTGCCGTGTTTTTAATATGGGAGTATTAAAAACTACAGTCAGATGTTAAATTAAGTCTTACAAACCTGTGAGAGCCAAGGGACGGGAAATTTTTTTTTGCGCTCATATTATGAATAAAACGTACAATATAACCCTCGGATGCAAAGCAGGAAGCATTTAGAAAGCTTATTTAAATAGAGACACGCGGGATAGTTCCTTTCCAGGTTAAAATTCTGTTCGTATTCTTAAAAGGCGAACGGAAAAAAGTTGAACTTGCTCAGCAATTTGCAATTCTTTTGAATCGTGCCCGGGCACACGCAGCCGGATTCTAACCAATTCCATGGCAACGGCATGCATATTAGTGTTTATTTGAACAAGTTTTTCCCCCCATTCAAAACCGTTCTTCCGCGTTCCCCACGGCGTTCGTCCGTTTTCTCAATTTTTGAAAATTAAATTAGCGGCCAGCTACGCCAGTAAACGCGCCACTGTCAACTGTTAATGTCTTCATTCTCGCGGGCGCTCCGCCTCGTTCTGTAATAACTGAACAAACCCGGGCGAACGTTACGCACATTCCTTCAATTTTTTTATGAAATTCGTGTTCACGACAGATGGTGTGTGCTTTTAAAGTGGAAATGCATACGCAGTGGGTTCCTATGTACGTGTGTAAGGAAATGTTCGTCGCTGCACTACGTGCAATTTCTTTTAACGATATCGTTATCGGACGAGCCGTGCTTAATTGACACGCGTGATATATATTCTATATCATAGCAAATTCTCACAATAGAAAATCCGGGAACGGCGGATAACAGCGTTTCAACGAAGATCAGGTAGTTGTTACAAACGACGGAGACAGACGTTGATGAATACGTAACGGGCTCGCTGATAGGTCGCCGGAGCGGCTGTGCATATGGTGTGTTCCGTACCATCGCTGTCAAACCAGACGTCAATCCGACGGTGCATCTGACGAACCGAATTTCGCTAGATCCGTATCGCGATTATCATAAACGTCGCGACGTGTCTCTTACAACTCGTGTACACAATAGGAATTGTGCGCCACCGAAGACGATCCTCCTCGCCTCGAACGGCATGAATCTTAATCGAGTAACGTGCACGAATCCGGCTCATCCATTGATGAAAAAAATTCGAACGTGGTTTTCGTCACGGTTCCGTAGTAACGTAGGTCGTCGCGTCGTGCTCCGGGCATTTTAATTTTGACGGAGGCCAACGCTTGACGTTTCGAGCCGAGGCCTATTAGCGGGATCGGATTGAACGCCCCGACGGGAATAACGCGAGACCGAGGGGAAAATATAAAATAGAAACGCCGGGGAAGCGTACACGTCGGACCCGGCCGCCGGTCACGTAATTAAAACTTGAATGAATATCACGAGAAAGTAGTAGGGAAAAGAGTAGCAATTGTTGGTACGACAGTAATTATGCACCGTTGACAAAAAGACAAGGCAAACTGCTGTGCATTCAAAACAACGCAAGATTGCAAGGCGAAACGGGGCTCGTTACACGAGAATTTCTAGTCCAAGAAATATTACGTACCTTGAAAAAACTTTTCTTCCTCGTATCGCATTATCCGTACGCGCTCCTTTTTATCTCGCCGCTATTTGCAGACGCGAGAACGTTAACGAGAAAAATGATGTTTATAAACATTTTCACGAATTAAATGCAACCGAGTGATGAAAGAATGCTAGCGTGATTACTGTCCGTATTTAACGCATAGATATACATATAATTGTACTAATTAAAAAGCCATACGTAATTTAACGATATAAGGTATAAGCATGCGATTTGCAAATGAAAATAGAATGTGTTACGGAAATTATCCATGCGGCGTATACCTTAATCGTAGTGTATGTAGGCAGTAAAGCAGATGCGAAAATGACTGCCATAAAGCACGGCACTATATGCATACCTACGCAACGTTATCGCTTGCAAAACGAACTAGTATACTCCTCTGGCCACGTTATAGGTCGATAATATTGGACATCCATTTCGATTCCGAATTTAAATTCAAGTATTAACACCGGATTTTAATTTATCGCCTTTAATAAGATCATCCACGTCTATGCTTTTTCATTTACAGATCCAATGCGCTTTCATAATTATTGAAAATCGCTCTTTAACGTTCGTACGAATTGGGAAAAGTATTAATTTAATAAGCAGTTCGTTAATTGTCCGAGTTCCGTCATTTATTATTTCGGTTTCTATAGAAACCGCGTGGATTATATTTATAAATATATAATTAACCATCGTGTAATGGAAATTACGATGAGCAATATACGACCATGGCATTTTGAAAATTCACGTGAAAGAAATTAGGCAGGCTCGATTGGCTGCCGCCTTAATTGCAATCTTAATGACTTGATCGATAGCCGATAGATCATAATTGATATGATTACTGCGCCGACCCCGGGGTCGCTTGTTAATACGTTCCGTATTTACGAGGGTGGGCGATGTTCAGACTGTAATCAACCACCGATTGTTTATCGACAATCAGTCGCCGGTCTACGATTGCCAATCATCTCGTAATTCGGCAATTGTAATTGAAACGGTTCCGAGATGTACTCTCTCCGTAGTCTGACATTTCGAAGCTCCTAAATTGCGTCTTGGTAGAGAATATATTAATCATTTTCAAACATTGCAATGACTAAAGAAAATCTAATCAGATTTATTGAATCAAGATAGATTTTTCAACTTGATGCAATCAAACGAGAATGAATAAGAATTTCAGTATTTCAATCGGATCCGTCAGTTTTATTGGTTCACAATCAAAATTTTGGTTACACACACGGTCTTAGGCTCGTGTCTGTATCATTACGATAATGGAAGACTGTCAAAGGAAAGAATACGAGACATGGGAATGAATATCATATCGTGGTACTTAGTATCAATTGTTGTCCATTATTCAAGAATTATGGCTCCTATTAAACCTTGCTCACTGTATAAATCACCGTCGTCCATGGGTTACTACAGAGCTTACGGTGTTTCACCACTTTGTCTTGTGTAGCGCAGGGACAATTACTGATACGTGCAAGGTGAATCAAGAAGAATCGCCATCGAAATTAACAATACACTGATCCTATTAAATAATCTTGATAAAAATGAACTGCTATTTATTGAAATATGAGAATGCATTTATTCAGTGAATTGTATTAAATACAAAATTGACGTCGAACCATTTTTAAACCAGTCGTTTTATATGGTTATTCGAGACACTTTGTAAAACTAAAATAGTATTTTTTATATGAGATAAAAGATACGATATTTATCACTCGGTTAAAATAAATAAAACGTATCGTGATGCAATGTCCGATTGCATTTTCTGCGACGTACAGATACGAAATTGATCGGTGGGTAGGAAGGAATAGCACAAGCGTTCTCTTTTATGCTATAAGAAATCGATTCATCGAATTTTCCTCTCGAGATTGGATGCCAAGGGCGGGACTGAGGAGAAGTCGTCAAGTACGGAATAATTTCTGAAGGCCTTAAGGATGCATAGAGTTTGAAAGCAGTCTAATACGTTCAAGGGCCATTGGGATATCCGCGTTCCATCCTATTTGATTTGAAATCAATTTATCATTATGAGGCAACGCGCTTCGTCGTCCTCGATAATAAATGAGAAATTTACATACCACAAGATTATTCGTCCGCCGTTCATCGTATAAGAAGAGTAACATGAAATCAAGCGGACGATTTTATAGATAGGTCGTCAAACAATTTGTCAATAATGATTTTGAGAATCTTCGCCGATCCACGGCAGCCGGGGTTTTACGGTCGGAGCTCTGTTTAAAATGGAAATGTATTGAAATGAAAGCGCTTTCTCTTATCTAGCTGGCCGGGGGGTGAAATTAACGCTCGCACGAAATGTCAATCACGATTCACTATAAAACAACAAGACAAACAGCGAATTATGAATATCGGCCACGCGGCTCCGTCGGGCGTGTATGCCAGCAAATTGTGTTTTCACGTAATGCGCGATCGTAGATAAAGAATACACCACGTCTACGCTTATCTGATAACAGGGCCGCTCATTTTCTTGCCACGAAATTCTAACAACGACAACGTAGAACGAGCGAGCCAATAAAAGTAATACGTTTTTAATTTTATACGTAGAATCGGATCGATTTTCAACAGTATGCACTAGCGTAGATATTCGCAATTACCTAGAACCAATCAGAATAATTGAACGTGATAAAATGAACTTTTATATTTTGAATTGCATTTTATAATTCGCAGTGAAAATAATGTAATGGCATCTCTAATGCATTGTTCCGTTTACTTTCATCTCGTCCGATAGAACGCGTCATGTTTATCGTCGACAATGTTATAATAATAATAACGTATAAATTAAAGGCTTCCTCATTTTCAGTCGGCAAAAATAAATTAAAAT